CAGTGTTGAAGATATGAAATGGTTGGTAGGTTCGATTTCATGGTAAAATGTTGTGTAAATTCGTTGTACTTGTGAATCCTGATTTATCACCGTATTATTGAACGCGAGAACAAATATTGGGACCTCCAGCATCAATGTGTTGTATCAAGTCGCTGCCGTAAGGAGATATTTTCTTTGTATCGCTTACCAACATTGTATTGTACTTCTTTCCTTTATTTTCCTTTACACATTTGGAGACTTGCATGGTGCACTTTCACCCCCACCCTCCCCAAATTACGAAGCTATCAAGTCGATTAGTAGGTATAGGATGTCTATGTGTGTTGATGGCTACTGCGTTGTGTAAGGGCTTCTCGTACGTAAAATGGGGCACATTCTCAGTAAAAATATCTATTTACACAGAGCTGACGAAATTCGCCTACATGTGTTAATATATGTTGGGATTTGGAGAGAAAAAACTCGTAAAACATACCGAATTTACCGTGACAGGAGTGATCAATTTTGGTGCCGATTGTTGGTGGGCTGATCAGCATGTCAGATTATTTCTGAGAACGTTCTTCGTGTGGGAAATCACAAAATCATTAGTACTAAGTAAGCTGGTTTACCTTATTTTTGTGTCAGAGTACCCTGTACAAATGACATGAATCGACATGCGATGATTACCAATTTAAACAATTTAACAATCGGTGTCTCATTTGTTCACCTCCCCCTCAACACAGTGATTTGTTATGTCAGTGATTTGTTATGAGAGGTATATTTTCCCGGCCCTTTTCGTCGAAAATTACGAATTCATTACCTCTAATATATCCTCGTTTACTTTAGTTGTTTCATCCGATTATTCTGTACATTGATTTTACCTAGCAAAGGAAACAATCGGTGTCTGGCTTTGTTATATTTACACTATTGCAACACCTTATGTGGGCCCCCAGCGTGAGTCTCGTGTTTCACTATTTTTTTTTATTGAATATTACACGGCACGATATCCCTCAAATCGGAAGGCACATTTATTGCTCGAGTTACTGTTCCTATTAAGTTAAGCTATGGAGCAAAAAAGAAAATATGGTTAAGCTGAATACCATGCTTCATGTGGAATGTACAGACCGGCATTAACTACTGGATACACAGTGGAAACCACTGGGGCAACGCTACGCTGACCGGCGTCTCCTGCCTGGTAAAAAAAAAACAGGCGGGACGGGCTGACGGGTTTTAAGTCGTCGTAGATGTTTTCGAAACGAAAATTTGCAAATAGGTTTTGTTTTGAGCCACTTAAAATGTCCTGTGTATATTTTTGGTTGGTACTCATCGCGTGCAACGTGCCCCAGATAGTGTAAATTTATATGCAGTAACAAATGCGACACGTTGGGAATTACTTTGAATTTTATGTACTGAGAAGTACGTCTGCCATAAATTATTAATATTTGTTATGGTACTGAGCTGTACGATGGTTGTAATTTTACCATGTCGATTTTCGGGATATAAGAACCAATCAAAAAGATTGTGCTGCCTTCCTTATTAGTCCTCGTTCGGACGAAGTCCGAAAACGGGGACTTATAATTTGGTCTTCGTGCATCCGTGTGTCCGTGCGTCCGTCCGGAGTCATATCTCAGAATCCCTTGGACCGATTTTGCTCATTCTTTGCATGTGCCTAGTACTTTATGTGGGACATATGCACATGCAGTGGTTTAGCGATTCGATTCAAAATGGCCGACTGGCAGCCATCTTGTTTTTTGAAAATGTTGTATTTTGGACATGCTTTGTCAGTTGTCATTCAAGCTTGGTACATAGATTATACATGTTAGGATACATGTCCATGACGATTTATTTCACAATTGGATCAAAGATGGTCGACTGGCAGGCATCTTGTTTTTGTTTTTTTATGCGGTATCTTGGACGTGCTCTGTCAGTTTTCATACAGGTTAGGATGCATGTCCATGACAATTTGTTTCAAAATCTGGTCAAGGATGGCCGATTGACAGCCATCTGACTTTTTGGCCTTACTACTATATTTCCACAATTTATGTACCATTTTCATTCGTATTTGGCACATACATCATATATATCAGTGTGTTTCATAATCAGATCAAAGTTGGCTGAATAACAGCTGTTTTTATTTTGGCCATATTACTATGACACGAAACACGTGTTTTGATGTAAATAAACAATCTGTTGTATACACCACTTGGAACTCAAGTTTCAAGGACACGCTCGCGACAACCCCTCCGCTTTAATTTGACGAGCACAAAGAGAACTTAACGGGGACTGTGTCATTTTCAATGACTTGTTAATATATGTAACTGAAAATAAATATAATATTTATTGACACACATTGATATTAAGATAGTGGTTTGAATTTTAGATACTTAGATTGTGATTGTTTGTCAGAAATTTACATAGCTGTTCTTGCTACTTTACGTTTTCCGTGTTAACTAAATTTCTAAAATTTTTTTAAATGCCTTATAAGTTTATTTTGGGCATTTATTTGTTTACGATTTTCATTGCATTTCATTTTCCCTAATGTTTTATGAATTATTTCAGTTTTCTTTTTAATGTTTCAATTTTGTGTAGACTTTTTATGCATATTTTTAAGTAGGCTTATTGTAGGTATACGATGTTTATGTGTGTAGATGACTACTGGTGGCTCCTTATTTAATAGATTATTCATAGTTTGTTTATCATTTTCAAATATTCCCGAATATTACATCATGATCCCTATTCCCTCAGCACACAGAAGTTCTTTCTAAGCTTTCTTTGATTGAGTTTTGCATTTATAGATAGTTATCATTATATTTTTATTATAATCTTTTATATTTTGTACACAGTCCATGGTAATTGGTCTACATGGGAAGAGTGGGGGGAGTGTAGTGCTAGTTGTAATGGCGGTCAACAAAGACGTTACAGAACTTGTAATAATCCAAGACCAAGTCATGGAGGAAGATTCTGTCAAGGGACAAACACGCAAATGAAATCGTGTAATCTTCAGGAATGTTCAGGTAAGAAAATGCTTGGGCGTGAAAATAAGTTGTTATTGTTTTGTATTTACGAGTGATTTGGATTTTTCAAATGATACTTAATTTGTGACTAATACCAGAAATTACATTTTTTTCATGTCATGCATCTCAAATAGCAGACAAAAATTAGTTGTCAAGGTTTTTGTTTGAAAAGCAAATCCTAAATTTTGAATTAATTTTAATGTGTCTTGAATACTGTCATCAGCACACGGAGTTCTTTCTAAGCTTTCTTTGATATTAAACGTAGCGTTTCATCCCATGTGTAGTTGTTGAAGTATTACTGTAGAAGTGGAAGTTATTTGCATGGCCTAGTCCAAAAGCGCGAAATTGAAACCATGTGAAAATGTTCTGTTCCGCATTCGAAAGTCAAACACAATACCCAAGTCAAAACAACACTCACTCCTGACCCATGATCTTACAAGTTTTACCGTAGTTATTGACGCCTATTCAAGAGTATGATGTTTATTGTGGTTAGCGTGAATGAGTAAGCCTCGTTTCGACAATGAGCTGTTATCACCATAAAAATGTTAAATTAGTCTTCAAATGTTCAGTTTATCTTTGAAAACAAATAATTTTTAGCTCCGCTGTCGACTTTGTCGAGCGGAGCTTATCATATGAGTGATTGTCCGTCGTCGTCGCCGTCCGTCGTCCGTGTCAATGTTTTACTTTTTCGACTTCTTCTTGAAAACTACAAGCCTGAATACTTTGATACTTGGTGTATATGTACCTTGGGTAGACCTCTCGTAGGTTTGTTCATTTTATGTTGATATCTTCAATTCTCTAATTTTGGTGAATATTTTTGTCATTTTTGGTAAAAAGTGATATTTTCGACTTCTTGTTAAAAACCCCAAGTCCAATTGCTTTGATACTACATATATAGGTACTACATGTGGACCTCTCTCAGATTTGTTCATTTTGTAATGATATCTTCAATTCTCTATTTTTGGTGAATATTTTTGTCATTTTTGGTAAAAAGTGATATTTTCGACTTCTTGTTAAACACCGCATGTTCAATTGCTTTGATATTACATATATAGATACTACATGTAGACCTTTCTCAGATTTGTTCATTTTGTGATGATATCTTCAGTTCTCTAATTTTGGTGAATATTTTTGTCATTTTTGGTAAAAAGTGATATTTTCGACTTCTTGTTTGAAAACTGTAAAAGTCCGATTGC